GAGGAGGCCCCGCCTACAGTCCGCAGCGGGCAGCAGTGCTTCGTGTGGACTCCACGTCAGTGTAGGTCAGTCCACAGACTCCTCCTTTGAGGCAACTGCAGAACATTCGATGACGTTTTCTAAAGTGTTGTTTTTATCATCCTGTGTGTCAAATTTGTATATTCTGTGAGACACTATTACATTGTCTTGAACCAACTTTAGTGGATGCCTTTATGGGCATTTTAGCATTGAAGAGTTGTTGCTCTAATTCCATGATTTTACTTCTCTTATTGCCTGTGTTTAGATTTAATGAGATTGTGTTAGGTTTGGAGCCAAATTTTAATACTTTGCTATGTCCAGTTTCAAAATCAGAAATCAAAATAATTTTTTTTTCGGAACTGGAGTTTGAACTCAGGCTCTTGCACTTGCCAGGAAGCACTTATTCTACTGAGCCATTTCCCCGGCCCCTCAAAATAATTTTTAATCTTCTATACAGTGTAGATACTTGCTAACTTAGTAATTTATGCACAACAAGTATTCTACTATTTTCTTCAAAGTCTCATGAACTGCCGACAAATGATCTTTGAAGTTTTATTTAAAAACTGTAACTTAAAAATATGCACAAGACAAGTGGCCATCTAGGCAGCCCTCCCCAGGCACCTCTCGCTGTAGCTGAGGGGGCTCTTTCTCTTTCTGGGCACAGACCTTGTGCTGCAGCAAGGCCTTGTTCAGGTAAAGGCTCACTTCGGTGTTCAAAAGAATCCAAACAATGAAAACTAGCCTTCGTGCTAAACCTTGTGTACTTTATCAGAGCACCCATCTGCGGACGATCAAGGTAGTTACCGTCTCGGACTTAATTTGGCCCTCCCACATTACTAGATTGAAGGGGCTCTTCTCCTCTTAAAAATACTGACTTAGACTTCACCACTGACTGCTTTTCATCTCTGGGAGATGCAGGACTGCAGAGAGAATTATGTATTAAAATGGGGTGAAGTGAGATTTTAAAATTTATAATGAAGAGATGACGGGGCGTGGAGGAATACAGTGCCATTGAGTTGTGGCGTTGGAGTTGACATTTTCAGTGCTGTGCTGTATGTCACTGACTAGCACAAATTATGGAAGTTTAATTTAGTAAAGTTAAATATAGCTGGGGGTGGTGGTGCAGGCTTGTAATCCTAGCACTTGGGAGGCTGAGGCAGGAGGGTCATGGTGAGTGAGAGACCAGCCTGGGCTATAAAATGAGCTTAGGTTGAATATAGATGAGTAATGGTGGCATTTTGCTAATACTGTCTTTGCTTGCCGTCTCATTTCTCTTAGGCTGGTGTCTCACGCATGCTACCCATTTTTCAAGGACCTAAATGCCACCAATGGGTGTGCCATGGCCAGCAGGCCTGACGGGCGAGGCAAGCGGCAGGCCACAACTCCGTGCCCCAACCACATCGAGAAGTCTAACAGGATCTACCAGTGCTCTCCCCCGTACCGAGTGTCCTCCAACGTACGTCTGCTTGGCCGAGACTGCGCGGAACACCTCTCAGGCACACGGAGGCTTGCTGTCCTTAGTGCCATTTGGAAGGGATTTAGAGCCAAGTGAGATGAGGCCCAACCTCCAAATTCTAACGCAGGCATTTGCTAGCATACGCTAAGATAAATGGCCTGCTGTCGAGTGCAGGCTTTGGTATTCTTTAACTGGGCGGTAGAGACCTTCAGTTTGGGTGACATCTTTCATATTTACATTAACAGCGTCAAGGATTGGCTTAAATTCAAACACCGCCCATGGAAGTGATTTTTTTTGTTATATTTACTGTGTGTGTGTGTGTGTGTGTGTGTGTGTGTGTGTGTGTGTGTATGTGTGTACACTAAAAAATTAAAAGCCACATCAAACTCTTTTCTCTGACTTTTTGTGGTAGGAGTTACTTTTCATATATCTTTTGCCACACTCCTCCAAGTTATTGAATTGAATGTAGCCACAATGGAGAAAATACTTTCTGTTCTCATGTGACATGTTACAGCCCAGACAAGTCATTTCACTGTCACCCCTTCTCATTTTCAACCTCCTGGAACTTTCAGGGGCAGCGAGCTGTCACAGAATGTGGTTCAGCATCGGCCCCTGTGGCTGTTCTCAGTGCTCCTGATGTACAAGTGTAGTCACTGTCCCCAGATGACAAGCCTTTTCCTACCTCTCTGCTAAGCTGTGTGAAGAGTCCTCTGCCTGGCCCACGTGGCTGCCCGCCACTCCTGGCGGTGCAGTGTCCCATGATGTCGAGGCCAGGACGAAATGTCCTGTTCTCTGTTAAATTTTCTTTGACTACTAGGTGGGATTAGTTTCTCTTTTTTATTTGCATTATAGGAGTTTATGTTTGTTTCTGTAACAAAATAATAATAATAGAATTAGTTGTGATATTGTCTCTCTGTACCACAAAGACCTAAGGAGCTTGGGATAGACGTGGGATCTATCTATGTTTCTGTTAATAGTTTCTAGTATATGACCTGTGCTCAGGGTGTACAGACAATGAATGAATGAATGAACAAATGAACAAATGAATGAATGAATGGAATCCATACTCCTCTGTTGTAGGAAAATTGGGTGCCAACACAGAAATCTATAAAACAATAAAGAAAAGAAATATATGAACCAATACTATAAAACAATAAAGAAAGCAACAACTGTTTTATAAGAAATAGTTTTCATTTTTTCTAGAAAAAACACAACTTTTACCAAAAGTCACTAAAATGTAATATATAGCTATGTAGCTATATTTATTAGTGTCAATTTTCACTTGAGGAAGCTGAATAACTTCGCGATGCATGTGCTTCGAAAATGCTTTTTTAAAAATGTATTTATAAATGTCAGCAGGGAGAATCATGTGTTGGTTTCTTCCTTAGTTTACCATAAACTTTGAAGTGGTTTTATTAATGTTTGTTTGCAGCCGCTGGAACATCATGTGTATAGTTTAGGTTGTAAGTCTTAGAACTGCAGAATTAACACCACTATCCCAAACTGATTAATAAATCATAAAATCTGTTAAAAAAAGAAATAGTCATACTGAAGTTACCAAGGAAACTCAAAAAGTCACTTTGTATGGTTCTTGTGATCAAAGACTGGTGGCTCCACTAATCTTCATGATTAACTTACCTCAATTTAAGTCACCATGGCTTCATTGATTTTGATGAACTCTTTCTTTGTCACCAAACATGATGACATTTCAATTCGACTTCACAATTGTTATTTACTGATACAAGTCAGTAAAACAAACGAGCACACCTTATCCTCAGCTACTTGGCTAGGTGATGCTTCCCTGTGAGCGGTTCCAGGCGTCAGTGGAGCGCCAAGTCGCTTTGGGTCACGCAGCGAGCACACTGGCTGTGTACCAGCTAGTGCTGCAAGCAGACAACAGACTGGGCAGGCCTCCCAGCAGCGACGGTACTCACTGATGCTTCTCCTCCTTCCAGGAAACGCAGATAATGAAGGAAATAATGAAAAACGGGCCGGTTCAAGGTAAGCCTGGACGAAGCGGGCCTTGTCTTGCTCATTTCTTTACTGAGCAACATTACTCTGACCTCATCTTCGAGGACTGTAAGGCAAGACACTGGGCAGACCGCTGAAGAGCTCAACAGTACTAAAATCAATGCAGTGAGAAGAGATTTGCTTGTCTGATTGTATCATTAGCTGGTACTTCATTTTAAGAAGCTAGACTCATTTCTGAATTGGATTGTGGAATGTTAACGGCACGTTCATGAAAAGGTGCTGAGCCTTTTCAAGGTGATTATGGACCAACAAGGAGCCACACCTGAAGTACCAAGAGATTAGTCTGCACTGAGGCTCATTTTATACATTTGATCATATTTAAGAATGGAACAGAGTGGTAGATATTTAATCACCTTTTGTTTAAATAGATTAGATAAGGAATTGCAAAAATTTGAGAATATGAGTGGAAACAAAGTATATACATTCCTTTTTCTATTAGCTGAAGAGAAATTAAGCTGAGTGTGATGGCATGTGCCTGTAATTCCAGCACTTGGGAGGCTGAGGCAGGAGGGTTACCATGAGTTTCAGCTAGCCTGTTACATGAGTTTAAGGCAAATCTGGACTACATAGTGGTGAGACCTTGTCAAGGGGGAGGGATGGAGGGAGAGAGAGAGGGAGAGAGGGAAAGGGAAAGAGGGAGGGAGTGGGGAAAGAGAGAGAGGTGGGCAATGGAGGGAGAGAGGGAGAGAGGGA